CAAAGATAATTTTTTTTTATTTATAAAAATTATCTATTAAACTAAATATTTTTTTCTATAAGATCAGTTTTAATATTTTAATTAAGTATTCATATATATAATTCAATTATATAGTCTATAAATTAGAAAAAAAAATAAAAATTATTATATAATCTAGAAGTAACTTTAATAGTATAATTTACTAAGTTTTAAAAGCTTTAATAGTTAATTAATAAAAGTTTAATTTTTTTATTAGAAGTTTTTTTTAATAAAAGTGATTAATATTTTAATTTTTTAATAAATATAAATAAGTTAAATAAAAGTAATTTAGTAGATAATATAAATTAATAGATAATTGATTATATTAATTAATTTATTTTTATTATACTATTAAAAATAATTTTATTATTCATATTTATATATTATTTTTTTATTTTTTATACTTTTATTTAGAATTAATAGCTATTAACTATTTGATTTTTTTACTAAAAAGTAATATTATATATAACTAATTAATATTTATTTATTAATTAATTAATTAATTAATAATTTAATCTAAAAATTAAAAAAAACTTTTATTAATATTTAATTTTATTATTTTATTAATTTAATTAATATATAGTATAAAAGATTTCAAAATCTAGAAGAATTAAATTTTAAAAGATTTATAAACTAATTTTATCAAAGTAGAAATAAAGAATTAAATATGTAACCAAGTAAAAATTTTATTTAAAATAAATAAAATTAAATTTATAACTTTAAATTTATTTTTTATAGTAGTATTTTTAGTTTTTTAATATATAACTAATTAGAAATTTATTTTTATCAATATAATTAATTATTAATTTTATATTCTTTTAATTTTTTTATTATATACTTTTTTTAATGATAAAAAAAATAATTTATATCTAGTGATTGTAATAGATAAAAGAAATAAAAATATATATAAATAACTAAAATATAATAATTTAGACAAAATTTATTAAATTTAGTTATAATATATTATTATATTTATTTATAATTAATAATTTATATCTGCTAACTATTAAATTTTAATATCTTTATTAAATATCTTTTATAATTATATTAAATCAAGCTTATTTAAAGTTTAACTTTTTTTATTAAAATTAATTATTTAATTTACTAATTATTATTTATATTATAAAAATTAATAAACTTTACTTTTTAATATGATTATAAAAAATAAAGTTAAATTTATAATATTAATTATTTTAATTTTAATTATTTATTATTTATTTTTAATTATATAAAAATTAATTTATAATCTTTATTAACTTTAGTAATTATTAAAATTATTATGATAATATTTATTAAAAAATTAATTTTAATAAAATTATATTTTTATTTCAATAATATTTTAATAAAATATATTTAAATTTTTAATTATAATATAAATATATATTATAAAATTAATAAATATTAAATAAATTATTATTTATTAACTATATAAATAAGTTAATAATATTATAATTTTCTATTAAAGTTAAAATATAAATATAATATAATAATTACTTTAAATAAAAAAATAAATATATAAAAGTTAAAAAAATTATTATAATATAAAAAAACTTTATAAAAAATTTATTATTTTTTATTTTATTTATTAAAATTAATTAATTATTTTAATTCAAATCTTTTATATTATAAATAAAATTATAAACTCTGTAGAATTGTAGAAATTATAAAATTATTTAACACATTAGAAGAAGATGTTTTAATTTTAATGTAAATTAATTTTTAATTAAATTTTTGCTTTTGTTAATAGATAAGTGTAATTAAAATCAATTATTTTATATTAAACTGACAAGTTAGAGTGTTCCACTGAATTGAGTACGCCACTCAGTTGAGCAGTACATTAACTAAATGTCAAATTAGGTGGGCCTCTTACCGTGTGAGATTTTTGCAACATATGAGCGATTTTTCCTACTTATGAGAATGACTGGTTTTTTAATTCTCATATACGTAAATGCTCATTCAAATCCATTAAAAGAAGTAGTTGAATTTAACCCTATAACTAGTAGGATCATATCCGACTGTAGATTCTAGGTGGAATCAAGTTAATTATTCATTTCTAGATTACTAACAATGAACCTGAACCGTCTGATACAATGTAACCAGACGTTATATTACAGATAGTTTAGCGGCTAAACCATGAGAGTGCTACAATGCTTCCTATAACTTTACCGCTGAGAAATGCGTATTATTGAGAACTGCATCGCTAAGCTGTGGATGCAAGCTCGCAGGTAAAAAAGATTTGACTTTCAGTAGTTAGTAAACATGTTAATTTTAAGGTTGTATCCGCATGAGTCCATTCAGTCATTATCCTTGGTAGAAAGTAGTATGTCTTGCATCATAATTTACAGGAGGGATCTATCTCTGCCTTGAAAAGGGGGAAAATGTTACCCCATATTAAAGATTTTTATATTTTCTAGTCTTCTTATCTCCTGTGCTCTCGTTTTACTCTGCAAATGTAGAGGAAACGGCCGCTTGTAGTACCAGTAGGTGCAGTATCTACATTAATCATCAAAACCGTGGGAAATCGGTTTAAAGAAGAAGAGAGCTTGAATAATGACAAAAAGGACGGTAACCTTTCAAAAGATCAAGACATAATAAACAAAAATGCAATTGTAGTTCCTAACATCCCCTATATTCACATCTTGAACCGGTAGATCGATCTCACCCATGATATCCAGCAACCACAATCCAGTAGTGGCCTCAACAAGATAAGGATGTGGGACGGGGTAACGACAGTCCGAGAGGCTGTGAGAGCAGTCTTCTGACTTCATCCACTTGATAATCCCCCTCTGCTAACCTATATTGTGTTGATATCGTGGAAACTTTAGCATGGATCCGTCGAGATATCATCGGGGTAAAGGAGGAGAAAGGAGAATAAGAGGAAAAAGGTGTTCTAATTTAGTTCCCATTCTCACAAAGGCACAGAGGCACTGATCCCTTGGAACTCACTTTTTGGGATAGCGAGTGAGCCTGTCTAGACTTTAAATACTGTAGGAACATATCACAAGGGTGCTTGGAAGACAACCATTGCTACAGGGATGATGTCAATATGCAATAAATTACAGCAAATTAGAAATTAAAGTTATTTACACATTTATTCCCGAGATCTGTCCGTTCTTGTTATGATCAAGAATCTCAAATCTGCTGAAGCTAAAAGTTCAGGAACCTGATGGGTTGAAAGATTGTTATCTCTTACCATAACAAATGGGAGTGATGGAGTGAGAAGAATTAGTGTCAGGTATCAGGTACAAAAAAGTGCCGCATGGGGTATCTGGCAGAGATCCACCATTTGTAAATGGCACCCTGCGAAGCCAACCACTGGCACTAGCGCATGGGGATGGCATGTCTTACATTCGTCGTCATCATGTTCGAGAAGTGACCTTGGGATGAACAAATGACGGACAGGAAAGGTAGCACCAAGGTGGGGAGGGAAGGGAGGAGTGGGAGAGGAGGAGCTTGGATAAATCAGAGAAGAAAAGGAAAGGCTATCAAACTGCTCACAGAGCTAGTTATGCTCAATTCTAATGCCCTGATATGTTCAAGACATCATGATGTCAGACTGCAGATACTCGTAAAAAATAAATCTGTAGTGATTTGATTCAATTCCGCCATTCTTTTCGCGGAGGTGGGCTGAGCTCACATGGAGAAAAAACCTATTAGACGATGTTTGAGTATAAAGAAAGGGACTGCTTTCAGACAAGCCCTGGATCGCATCCTGCGACCTAGGTGCCTCACGTGAATCTGGTGAACGTTTTTCCAACCGTATTTCGAGGATCACTGCTCTGTCAGAGGATCAAAACATCTACACAGTTTCTCCCGGAAAGGAGTAAAAGTTAATAAAAAGGAGTTCTCATATCAGAATAGGTGTTGACGCTAGCTAAGAGGAAAAGTAATGGGAAAACCCTCTTCCAGTCTCCAGGTAGTTGAATCAAATCATGTTGCTGTGACAATGATTCAGCGCGACACGAATTTTCCCTTCATGCTCCGAGTGTCATACAAAGCAAAAGAGAGACGGCGTGGAGCAAGTGGCACCAAGTTGGCTGATAAGTCTGAGATATTGAAAGAGGCCAAGATTGTTCGGTTCATCTTTGTATTACCGATCTTTCCACTGAAGATGAGCTGATATGTGGACTGAATTCACAGTCCCTGCTAGAACGCATGGAAGCTCCATGTCCGATGTCTCACTATGGAGTTGCAGCGCCGTTGAGAAAATAAGTATTCCAGAAGGTATTGGTCAGTCATGAGATAAAGTCTGGAAAGGGTGGGAAAAGAGAAAGAAATGAAACTAAATATAGTGGTTTAATCAGCAGCTGTGGTATATCACTGCATCTGGCTTTGCATCATCATCTTCTCCTCACATCACTTTTCCTTCAATGATACCAAACATTTCTTCGCTTGAAGGAAGGCATACAACAGGTTTCTTTTCACGAATTGTAATATATTAGTGATCAACCCGTAAAAAAGAGAAATGGATGCAAAAGAAAATTTTATTCAGATGCCACCCCTAGTAAAATTTACCACAAATGCTCTTCGTTAACTTAGTTAACTAACTAGTTAGTTAACTATTATTCCACGATTACTAATAGGATTGCCATTCTACTAGTTAACTAGCTATACATGCTTGTAGGCCTGCTTGTAGGATAGCTGCTGTAGTCTTTTTGACCTGAATTTTAGACACTCCTCTCAACATTAGTTATTGAACTCAGATTGAACTTTCATCTTAATCTTTAAGCAGTGAAAGACGTTTATTTAACTAGAAATCTTGTAAATTATAGCTTTCTCAGCTGTTTGCTAAATATATATGTTTTTAATAGCTCTTTTATTTTTTGTAAAAAAGTTTTTTGACTTCAGATTAATATTTCATCAGATTTAAACTACTTTAATATCATATAGTTATATATGTTAAAAGTTTTGATAGATAGTAAAATGTTTATCATACTGATTTCAATAAAAATTTATATATTCAGATATTTGAAACTATTAAGAATTTTGATATTTATTTTATTTAAAGCTATATATTTTTAAATAAATATAAATAAATGTCAACTTTCATTAAAGTTAAATAATTTAAATAAATTAACTTGACTTTTTATTAATAATTTAATGATAACTTTTATAAATAGTTAAAAATGTAAATAAATTTAATAGTTGCAGTAATATGAAAAAAAATTATACTGATAAAAAAATTATATATATATATATTATAAAATCATACAAAAATTAGTACTTATATGATTTTTAGAATTATTTAAATATAATATTTTAGAACTTTTTACTGCAAATCTAGCTTTGAATAAGAATTTTTTTTAAATTAGTTTATTGTTAAATTATTTGATATTTAATTAATTTTAAAGTCAATAAAATTCAATTTAATATTTCTTTAACTTTAAATTAAATGATTTAAAAATTTTTGTTTTAAAAATCATCAAGAACTTGATAAACTAATCACTAATTTTTATAACTAGCTTTTAAAATTAAAAGTCAATCTCTATTTTCTAAATCTTATATAGCTTGACTTTTTTGAGATAACTAGCATTTCTAGTTTTGAAATAAATGTTTATATTACTTTATACATATTTATACTTCATATATAATTTTTTAAATATTATTCTAAATTTATATCTCATTTAATAAAATGTAAAATTACTAAATTTGCTTAAATTAAGTTTTTTATATTTTTCTAATATCAATTTTTCTATCAACACAAGATGAAACTTTAGCATTGTATTTTAAAAATCCTGCTGCCAATACAGAGGCGTAAAAACATCCTCTAGGCTGTTAAGAGCTCCGTAATCGAATAGATTCTTCGCATTAAAATGCCATATTAACAAATTGATTGAATAATCGTGCATTTGGTTGAATGTGGTGAATTTTTACATGGCGGGCGGATTCTAGGGGTAGCATCTAACAAATTTCCTAATTCAAATGTGTCAGAATGATAAAGGACGACTCGAAGATAACAATTGGCGTCATTTGGCTGAAAACGAGTGAATTGCCGGTAGCTGCTAGCTCCAGGCTTTGTTCCTATTCATAGCACCAGATCCCAGACTAGCGTTGACTGATGCATGGAAAAGTTCAATGTGAACAGTAGGTTTCTGACCAGTAGCAAGGTTCTTCGTCAATCACACCTTCAATTGGCCAAAAAGGCCAATGGATTAACCAGAAGAGGGTGAGATGTTCTGCCTGATTGTTTTCGTGACGTGGCAGCAGGAAGAAAATACGATGGCAGTATGGAGCAGGGAGTTGACCCAACTTTCCCTCAGTGATTCACTTTTCGTGGGATCTAAACATGTTGCTTGTTCGATAACGAAAGATGCAATCTCGATTAACTGAACCTTCGAATCTTGTTTGATCTGAAAATGACCAAGCTCCAGTTTCCCTGTTCAAATACGCGTTTTTTTTGGGGGGGAGGGGGCGCGGAGTGGAGGAGATAAGAAACGAAAGGGATTGGAAGGGTTTATGAAATGATGAAAGCAGTGGGTTACCGTTCATGGCTTCCATGATCTAATAACGCTTATATGCAGACGGTAAGCCCGGGCGGATCCCGACCCACAGCAATGGGTGAGGAAATCACCATGTACTTTGCCGGCAGGCTCTAGGCTCAAGCGTGACCGCATGAGGTAAAAAAATTAGCTGGATGATTTCACGAGGAATTCAAAATAAAAAGTCTGTGAAAATGATACCATCTTCCAGGAGGAGAGGCGGAAATCGGCCCCATCACATCAGCTTTACAACTCCGTTAATATCGGAAGATTCATGTTGCAAGCGCCGTGTCCCATGAAATCGAGACTTTATTAAGGTTCTGGCCACTTATAGTAGTTAGCTGCAAAGGCAGTCGGAATCAAGGATTATTTAAGACCATTGTTAATCTGTTATATCCAAACGTCATGAAAAAGAATTGAGCATACCCATCGGTGCTGATTCAATCCAGGCGTTTGCCTAGTCTGCGCCCTCCATCAACCTGTTTTTAACTTGCCAACAAAGAAACGATATTCCCCACAGTTCCAATAGAGGAGCAACTTGGATTGCTTGGTTATATACCCTAATCTCTATTCCACGAAGGGTTGGACTCGAGCAGAGAAGTCAGTCTACCATTTTTAGGATTTTAAGGTTTTGTGGTATTGTTTGGGAGTTAACCGTATACAAATGCAATAAATGCATTCTTCTACTTTCTCTGTGCCAGTTCGATAGGTTTTTTTGGTCGTCTTAATCCACAGGATGAGACTGTTGCTCAAGAACTGGATCTCTCATCTGCCTGTTTCTCTGGGAGCTCCCACCTCTAGCATTCCGACTCTTCCCAGGGGGGAAACTTCTAAAATTTTGCGATGCGCATACGTTGTTGGATAGTGATAGCAGATTGAGATATTACTCGACAATATGAGATCTACTCTCTCGTTCACAATTTTATTTTCAGTTACAATCTGCCGTATGCTTGTAGTTGTAAGCCTGAAAAAATTTCTCACACTTGATCCAATGATAAGTTTCTCCAAAAATAAATAAATAATGCAGTGCAAGTATATTCTCTATCGCATATGGATAAAATTCCTTTTTCTGAGTTTCCTTTTTCCGTATGATAATTCGTATCTTCATGGGAAGGGTTTGAAGCCTGATGGGCAAGTATATTCGGATTGTGGAAGTGCCACTATATGAACTCCGCCACCCTACGAACTTCAAATCATTGTCATGATATTATTATTATTTTTATCATCATTATTATATTTTCTTGGCTTGAGGGCCTATGATAGCCTGACTGGGCACTAAACACTCTAGATACCATGATGTATGTCATCTTTGATAAGGGGAGGTTCAACATACCCATCTGAATATCCCCTCGTCTGCCGGTTTTGCCAGAATTAGCGCGGTTTTAAACGTGTAATATTAACAAGGATTAAAATGAGTTGGCTAATAGATTTCTCATATATTTCATATGATGAAACATATTAGACTTATTCATGCATATCTTCTCTGAACCTGATTTATTCACTATATAAAAATATAAATGTTTGTGTTTATGTTTATGTTTATATTTAAGTTTATATTCTTAAGAATTTTAACTGTTTTAATTAGTTAGTAAAAAATAAATTATATAATTATTCTACTAATTATAATAATTAAATTCTATAATTTATTAAAAAATAATATAATTAATATATTATTTTTAAATTAATTAAATAAAATTTATAAAATTATATATTAAATTATTTTATTTTATATATAAAATATTAATTATTATTAATAAATTTATATAAATAATATAAATAATATTTTAAAATTTATTTATATTTATTTAAATTTTTTTTTAATTATTTAAATATTATAAAAAAATTTAATAATAATAATAATATATAAAAGTTAATATTTTAATTTATATTATTATTAATATTATTATTAATTAAATTTAAAATAATAATTTTAAATTAAATATGATATATTATATTAAAAACTTTTATTTAAAAATATATTATAAAATTTATAATAAAATAATTTTTAATATAAAATTTAAAAAAAAATATAATTTATATAATAAAATTTATTAATAATATATTTTAAAAAATTTTAAATAATTTTTAATTTATTTTTATATATATAATTTAATTTTAAAATTTTTATTTATTTAATTTTTTATAAATAATTATTATATTTTATAATTTAATAAATACTATTAATGATATTAATTATAAATTTTTAATATTTATAAATAAATTATTATTTTTATAATAATAAAATTTAAAAAATATTTATATAAAATATTTATTATATATATTATAAATTTTAAATATTATAATTATTATTATAATTTTCTATAAAATTATTTTTATTTTAATGTTTTATATAAAAATTATTAAATATTTAATTATTTTAAAATATTTAATAATAATAATAATAAACTCAAGTTAAAAATTTTAAAAAAAATTATACAATTTATAATTTTAAATATAAATATATAATTAAAGAAATTAAATATAATTATTAATATATATATATATATTAATACTTTAACAGACACTGCAGTTTTTCATTGCTGAAAATATTTATGAATATTTTTAATAACTTTTGTATATTTTTCATAAAAAAGAAAAATATGAAAGATTATACTTTTAATTTCATACACTCTTTATCAAAGGTTTTACTTTTTACTTTATTTTAACTTTTACTTCTGTTTTTTCACAGAGAGTTTAACATAAAAAAATTTTATTTTATATATCTGCTTCTTTTTTCTTTTCTTTTTCAATGATCTCAACTTTGTAAAATAGTATATTTACAAATCAATTACCTTTCAGTGTCAGCCCATTACATACTCTTAGAGAATAGTAAATTTATAAACCTTTTGAGAGCTAACTAGTTGCAGTGGGGATGAGAGCAGAATTTACAAATCCATAGCTTTTGGTATGATTATTGAAAATGCACCCAAACTAACCAATTAGCTCAAGCTATCTTCCTCTAATGCTGAGGGAAGGTTCACTTTTACCTTTTGCCTCATAGGCTAGCTGGTAGTGGGTTCGTGTAATCCAATCGCATATAACATTCCCGATTACTATTCAGAGATAGAGTAAGAAGCGACAGATTGCAGAGCTCCACTTCGGCGATAGTCGGTGACAGCTGGGACAAAACTGCGGACTTTTCCCGAATGATTCTATGAAAATTTCTTCTTGTAGATTCCCTGAGATGCTGTCATGCTTCATGTTGCCATCATTTGATGTGTTTCTTGTACTGGAGAGTCCAAATTTTTTACAAAGTCAAAACAAAAAGCATGTTGCTTACTAGTAACCTGGTTGAAATGACCTGCTGACTGACCTCCTTCTGCCAGCCAGCCCTGTGACTTATATACATGGTCCTCTCCGGATATTTGGGCAGTTGTAGTGGTGATGCTGGTGAGTGGATCCTTCAGTCTTTCAAACTAATGATCATGATGATAATCAAAGTAATGCTGTCGATCTGGCGGCATTGTCAATTGTCAATGATTCCCGTGATTGGGCAATAAAAAAGCTACAAGCCTGACCACAACACAGGTTAAAGTTCCAGAGTCCCACAGATTGAACTTGACAGTCTATATATAGAAACACACCTCGCATGATTCGAGTTTACTGGACTGGGTGGGTTGCCTTTCGTGTTGTTGTAGGTTAATTGTAGGCTTTGACCACCTCTTCCTCATGTTCGCTTGGTATTTTATTTTGGTGTGAACGTGTCACTGCGGGGTTACAGTTGAACGCAGTTTTAAAAAGCTGAACTCGGTTTTGTAAGTTGGGCCCACTTTTTTTTTTTTTTTTTACCGTGGATTCATCTAAAATAAACAATTTTCTACATTCTCTGCACATACACCACACAAACTGCTTAATATCTATTCAACCTCGCTGCTCTCAACACCAGGGTTTGGGGTAGATTAGAATTAGAATTTGTTGAAAAGTAAGGACCCGAGAAATACGATAAACCACTATCATCATGAGCATAAGAGATGTGTTGGTGTGACTGGTGTACGTAGATTTTGATTGGGCGTTGTCATGATCTGAATGTATAAACCATACTGAATGTTTTTCCGGCCGAATTTTAAAACCATAGCTCAACTTTGTTTAAACCGCATTCAAACTGTACGCCTACTGCTCTTTTCCCGATTATCTTGAAATAGTTTTCGAGATAGAATGTAAAGCGTAGTCCATGAACCGGAGTCAACGTCCGCCAAAACTCATTCAAGCGACTATTGCTGCACAGCCTCGACGGTGTGGAGGGTTGTCATCCCAGTCACAGAAAGCAGAGGATTCCGGAAGAACACAAGTTACTGGTCGAGGCGACGCAGAGCCGGCCAGGATCGGATCTATCCCAAAGACACGCGAGAGGAGGAGGTAGGCTAACCAGGACAAGTCAAGGATGGAATTCTATTTAAATCCAGAGGTGGCTATGCCTGTTTGGGGATAAGTTGGGGGCACGGGCATAAGCAGCTTGGGATGTTCACGGTTACAAGACCAGCCGCTGAGGCCGTTCTTGTCATGCTGACAAATGGATTGTGAATCATATGATGAAATTAAACGAGATAAAAAAGCTATCGAATATATCAAGAGGCTAAGAGGGACAGCTTAATGCAGGCTGTGGGAGTTTGATGGTGACAGGAGAAGTACAAGAATGAGTTTGAGGGGGTGGGGGAGCTGTTGATGCTCGAACCCTCGCGCTCTCATACTGGTGTTGTATAACCCACTGGATGATTTACAGCGGATGTGTTGGGCGTTAACGCCACACAAGTAAAGGACTGCTGTTGGAGTCAAGATTTGAGTGTCATCGTATGGATGGGAACTGCTGGAAGCAAGCTGGTGCGTTACAGACGAGCATGATCATCACACATGCTATTCCCAGTGTGATAATCTGTGTGCTCAACTGTAACTATGTATACATGCATTTTTTTGATTATTTCAATACACGACTTGCGCATAAAAATCCCTGCGGTCTAATGAGTGAGAAGTAGGTAATAATTAATTCTCTTTGGCAGGGAGGGAGGGGAATTTCGGCAAGGTGGCGCAGGCAAGAGGAAAATAATGTCCGCCTTGGAAGTCAATAATGAGAAAATGAATTCGGAAGAGCTGGAAAAGCAAAATCAGGGATCATAGGAAGCTACAGATCCTGAAGGAGAGTGTTCATAATAATTTCGATAAAAGGATAATAATTAATTCCCAGTAACGGAGGAGAAACCAAGAATGATAATCCAGGGTTTATTTCGGTCCAGGTATAAGCAGTGCTCGCAGCATTCGTAGATACTAACAGTCCCTAAACCTGCAGTGCGTGCAGTTCACGGTTTGCCGGTTCAGGGAGGCCTGGCAGCTAGATTCACCCGCCCAAAACTAGGGAATCTTTAGCGGTGCCCCGCCAGCAACCAGCGGTCACCAAGGCTCTACGCCAGCCTAGCAGGTAATTCACAGCGTTCGCATCCCTGTCCTTGCTTGGTAAACTTGCGCTAGCCCCGAAGGAAAAAGAAGATCCAGGCGGGAATGGCCCAAACCATGCTGTCCACGCCCACTTAGTAAACGACACCACCTCTTATTTACCCGTGGTGTGGTGGGGGCAAACCAGACGGCAGTGATCGGGGGGACGATAATGGCGTGGTTGTAAGTGGCCATCATCCATTTTTCTGCCTGTCCGCCTTTTCTTCTTCTATTCCTCTCCCTCTCCTCTCCCTCTCTCATTCATCTTCCGCTTCTTCCTAACTTCTTCTCCACTCCTCTTGTTTCACCACCATCTAAATGACGACGTGATCTTATAATAATTATTTTTCTTTTCCTGTTTTTCTTATTTTTTGTTCCGTTGCACACCCAACACTCGCTCTGGGTTCAACGGAATATACGCTCGCTACCTTTTCTTGTGTCCTCGTTTTTCACCTTGTCCGCACCTAACAACACTGTTGAAAGCATACTGAAAGAAGAGTTATACAAATCAACGAACAGGAAGCTTAAGAAAGAGAGAAAAAGAGAAGAAACCCCGAATTTTTATTTATTTATTTTTTTTTTTTAAAAAAATATTCTGTCAAAACAAGAATCCGCAGCAACACACGACACGCACCATCGTCAACAACAACTCCTTATTGCTCGAGTCTCTCTCGCTCGAACTAGTTCGGCTTCGTCTTTCGTATCTGAGTGCCGTCGGACAGCATACCTCTCGCTCTGTGTGCCCGCTGTATTACTGAACTACGTGTGAAAACGCAGAGATATACATGCGATACAGCCAAACGACCTTTTGAGCCTAGGCTAAGCGGGAGGAGAAAAAGGCAAGGTGAAAAATTAGAGAAATAGTGGTGACGGCAAAAGCAAAGAAAAGAACAACAGAAGAATCCGATCCGATAGTTACATCCAAGCAGCAGAAGGCCTAGCGTATATATACAACTCTCAACCATCGATTCCCCGTCTCACCATCCAGCCGGAGCGCTTGGTTCTGTTCTATTGGATGCCCTTGTTGTGCTCAAATCCATAGAAACCTGCCGTGTCGGTCGTTTGTCTGTGGATCTTTCCAACGGGAAGCAGGAGAACCAATTTTCCCAAATCAATCTCTTTACATGACGAAGGAAATTGATTGTTAATTTACCTACCTATACTCTGCCAGATAATCAGAACCTCTCCGCCGGTCATCTACCAAATTTCTCTAAACAAGGTCTGCCTCTTCTTATCGGTCTGCATCACTTTCTTCTGGCAAGGTCATTTCATCCGTTATCATACATACGCCTACCAGCTCCAATCGCAATCCCGCCTCAACCATCCGTGGTCACATGATACCTCGATTCTGAACACTCCAGTCAATTTTAGCAAACTATTTTCTCCATCAACCTTTGGTCATATGCTAGACAATTAGCCTGCTATTACCTTGGGAAGAAATAGCAGAAGTGCTTGTTCTTCTGTGCCATTTGTGAGGTTCGTTGTGGTTCTATTTCAACTGTTTCTCTTGGCTATCTTTTTTTCGAGCATGGTTGTCCTTTGATTTATGCTATTGTGATGATACGGGACGAGCGCTTGCCCACTATTTCCCGCTAGCGTCATCCTATCCAAGCAATCTGTGGTTCTCCAGGGTTTTCTCTACATCTACATCCTGGGTTTCCTTTTTTGGTTTTATTGGTTCATTACATTATTGGTTTTGTCATGCAGGGTCATTTCCGTCATCCACGGTTCTCTCAGACCGTGTTTGATTTTAGATTTGTTTCCCAGTAACTAACCTGGCCTTTTCCTTTAGCACCTATATCATCGCAAATCTTGCCACTTCTTTGAGAATCCGAAAGGATTTCGAGTTGCCACGACGCCTGTTTATTAATTCTTTAGCCACTTGGTGAGATTCCTCCTGGGATGCTGCAACAAACCGCGCTTCTGTTTTGGAATGTGTTCAGTGCTAATCAATGAAGTAGTTGATCGTGCGCCATTTTTTCCCATTCTCAACTAACGTCTAGCTTTCTTCAACCTCCCGAAACTCGATCTAACCAGGGTGTTCAGAAACAGTCTTGTCTCCACAAGTTCTATCTTGCTCAAGCAGATCTACGGGGCAATATTCTTCTACGGTGCTGCTCACAGAGATTGTGAATATTTTTCCGGTCTCATCATCCCAGCTCGTTCATTGTCGGATGTCTCTTGTGCTCAAAGATTTGAGGAAAAGCCATTTCTCGGGATTCTTTCGTTAGAAGATCTGAGTTTGTTAGCAAGCATTGGTTTCCGTCTCACCTTTCAGCAATTGTGGTTCTATGTGCTGATTCGGAGCCTTTGTTTTGCAACTTAACTTTTGAGGTTGATTTACCCATCCTCATCTCGTCGCTCGTTTTTGTCTCGGAGAACCACCTGAGGAACTTCACCAATTTTCCTTCTATATTCCTTTTTTGAGATTTTTTTAAATCTCGTCCACTCGCTTATTCAAACAGTTTTCCGCGTTGCATATATTGCAACACCATCACCATGGCGTTTCCAAAGAATCACTGTGCTCAAGTATGTCTCCCATCGCCGTTATTTTACCTGTTTGAATCCCTTCTATCATACAACTCGGACGCATTTGTTTTGGCCTCTACCTCGCATACCTGCTCGTACCTGCTCTAACGGAACATCTGACACTTTCTCACATTTGTTTCTTTCTTGTGTTACATCGCTGACTCGCTGTTCTAGCTGGATCTGGATTTCCAGACTCCATTGATCTTCGACGAATCTCTCGACTTTTCCGACCCTGAGGACTCGGGTTTTGTAGGAGCCTTTTCAGACAGCCTTCTAGCCAAGTCTGAAGGATTATTGTCTATGTCTGCTTACGAGAAATCTCCACAAGTCGATTTATTGGGTGAGTGGATCTTCCTCTCCGTGTTTTACATATATTTTTCCGCAGAGGCTGTGTTGAGTCAGCTTGGAGAGGAAAATAAAACACATGGAGAATTTCGAACCTCCACAACGGAAAGGAAAAAATAATTAATTAATTAATTAATTAAATCGTTCTCTGAAAATAATATTTCGGGTCCTCTACCAATTACATCCCATGCTCTCATGTCAGAACAGGGGGGGGTCACACATGGTATGGATTTATTTTAAACTGACAGCTATTCTCCTTTTGGTTCGTCAGATTATGATGCCACGCGGGCATACCACGACGCGGCTGGATTTTCCACTTATGCTCAGCCACCCTACGTAACACATCTTTTTCCCTCTGCCCTGGAAAGCCACACCATCCCGGACGATGATGGTGTGCATTATGTGATGGGTGATGGGTCCTGCGAATCTCATCCCTTTGACGTGCCCCGCTCTCCTGTTTTGGACTTGGGTTCCCGTCAGCTGCCGGAAGTTACATCCTACTCTCCGCTCACTGGCCATGAAGGATCAAAGCTCTCAGTCTATCTCCATTCCCCGTACGACCTTCTCTCACCTGCCCCAACTTCTTTCACGTTGCTCTTTGGTTCCGAACGGTGTGCATGCACCGTTACTCCATTAGGCTTCGTTAAATCCAACTTCCAGTATGTGCTATCGGTCGATGCGCCGCCTTTTGCAGCTACAGGTTGTCCTTCCCTCACGGTCCCTCTACAGATGATTATGGAGGACAACGACAGTCAAGGAGCGCAAGCCGTTCATGTTGGTGTTTTTACTTACGACCATAATCCTCAGTCTGCCGTTTCTCCTGCCGGCACATCGCGGAAGAGACGACTTTCTGATGCGTCCGACGAGACATCAAGATCAACTCGATCAGCGCCAGTTAAGCAGCTGCGCATTAAGGAGCCGAAAACTTCATTTGGGTACAGTGACAGTCTCTCAGGATCGCCATATTCTCCTTACCTCCCAACTCCGACGACTGCAAACGTCTATCCAGCCCAGTATTATCCAGTTTCTCCCCGTCCGTCTTTGCGACAATACAGTGGGACTCCATGTGCATCTCAGCCCATGATCAAAGCTCCATCTCCACTAGCATCATCATGGAGTCCATCGTTTTCTACAGTCAATATGTCTGCTCGCAGCCCGGGATTTTGCATGACCCCCAATTCTCATTCCCCTTCGATGCCTTCTCCTGTGAAAACGATGAACCC